TGGGATCCAATGCGAACAAATTTTTTTGACAGTCAAATGTTCATGCAATATTGAATGTATGCTGGTCCAACTAATGCCCAAGATTGTCTCAATCTCATGATAGGTCCCATGATGATCTTGCAATATCAGTTCACACACAGCATCAATGGTTTTTGTAACAACTGATTTTGGACGACCTTCGCGAAATTCGTCTTGGAGTGAACTAGGACCACAATTGAATTCACCATACCATCGATAAACACTGGTCCTTGATGGAGCTACATTGCCAAAAACTGAATTAAATTTATCCATGCACTGTTGCTGAGTTAATTCACATTGAAAGTTGTAAAAAATAATCGCATGAAAATGTTCAAGATTTAATTCCATTTTTGGCCAAGATGAATCTTTTAAGTTACTATAATCAACACAAATAGCGCTCTTATGTCAAAACGTCCCGAGTACGTATAACCTCAAAACATCCAACTTTATGATAGAGTTGTCAGTTGCCAGATTGCAACACAAGGATTGCCAAATCCCAAAACATAAAAGGCCACCTGCGTAATAAGTATTACAGGTGTTACCAGTCTCTTTTGTGGTAGCTAAACCAACCTCAACAGTGAAGTTTCTAGTAATTCTTCAGCTCTTATTCAATAAACAAAAAACAGGTACAATAAATAATATATTATGAGTGTATGAGTCTCCTTTGAGGTAGTAATAAATAATAAATGTAGATAAATCTTTAGAACCTCAATAAGCATTTATTACACTTGACGTTATGACATTTTAATGTAAATCACAACAAACCATTGCAACCACTTTATTGTCACCCATTCTGGAATTCTGGTGTAACACTATTTCAATGTCAATTAATAAATACTATTTCACAGCCAACAGTCCCTTCCAAACATTGTTGGAAAATTTCTTGGTAAACATCAAGAACCATATCCAAAATGGGATAGGCTTGATGAGAGTGTTACATATTTCAGGATTTGAATGGATTTAAAATACTGTATGTATGATCATTGGATAGAGACGCTGACAATACTGAAGAACTTGAGTTCATATGCTCCACACTGTGTTTCTTTATTATTTGTTGTATTTCCAAATTTGCTCTATGTCTGCTGTGCTTTGGTAACTTACGCAACTGTGAGGCAATCCACTTGCCCATCATTTCACACTCGTCCTCAACGATAGTAGTCCGAATTGTTAAAGGAGAAGCACTCAGAGATTTTTCTAAATCTTTTAGTTCTTTCACTGCAGTAGTTATGGAACCAATATGCTTTTCTCTCCTTCGAGTAGTTTTACAATTTCTGTTGGTCGGAGTGACCTCTGCATACGAGTACCAGTCACCAAGAAGACTTCCATCTGATTCATCTTCATTTTCATTGTTGGTTGTGGCCAGATCACAAGCTCCTACCGATATGTACTCAAAATCTTTGACTTCCTGGAAAAAAGAAAGAAAGAAACTCATAAACATAATAATTTGTGAAGTCCAGAAGAATGTTTTCAAAAGGTACTACAGCCAGCTGAACAAATTTTATAGTTAAACAAGAAAAATTCGCTGAAGTTGGAATAATTACTGCACTATTTGATTTTTACGTTTTCCGGTAGCCTCTTAAGTATTTCAGGCCAAGCTTATAAGAATATTAATTTTTTATATGTTATTAAAGAATATTAATTTTTTGACATAAAAGAGAAAAGATATGTACAGATATAATTGACTCAATAACTATCAAAATTCATACTTATGTAATTATCATTATTAGCTGAACTGAATACTCATTATAACTAAATCCAAACATCATTAATAATTAAAAATCAAACATTAATCGTAATATTATCTAATTTAATCATGTTTCCTTATAGCAGCACCTCATCCAGAAGGGTGGTAAAATATGAAGATTGATCCCATAACAGATGGAAGTTCAGGAATATTGTGTTGCCATGGAAGGGAAACTCTTAGTAATCAAAGCTCCTACAAAATATGGAAGTGAATTTTACAATTACCAAGATGCAAACAGAATTGTGCAATACATCACAAACTTGTCTTCAAGTACATTAATGGATTCCATGGGCAAAGTCATGGATGCATTTCTCAATAGCTGTGTGTAATCATTATTGGAAAATGAAGATTTAATTTATAAAAGGTTTTCTTATTGATAGAGATAGATAGAGAAAAATGTATTTGGCATATTAGCACATTGGTTAAGAATTTTTAATCACTCTGTCACAGAGAAGGTTTCTACCACAAGAAAAAATACCAAAGCAACATCCACCTTTCATAACTAGCTGTGCACCAAAACCCTTCACTCCACACGAGAAGCACTATGAAGATCATCACCTCAACAGAGATTGCAGTTCAGCGATGGGCAGAAATCAGTGAATTACAAGGTCCTCCACTAATGTGTTCTACAAACAAACCCCCAAATATGGCGCAGCAATAGAGGGAGAAGTACACAAAAGACTTTAGTGCAGATGAGGCAGTCAAACGGTAAGACACAAATTGTTATTTCAATTAATGTATTGTAAGTTGAACTTTAATTTTCTGAACAAGTTACAACATGTTTCAACCACTCATTTTTACTTTTACTTATATAATAAATAGAAAATAAAGAAAATTCTGCTGCAGAGCAGTGATTTTTTAACAGGAAAACTAACTGCTTTGGGTCCTTGTTTTTTTTTCAAGTAATATTTCCACAGAAAAAGCATGTTTCCCTTGCCAAATTATTAATGAAAAGTCATTAACAAACAACAGTACTGACCAAGTACTTGATGCTTCAAGCTGATGCTTCTGATGCTTCAAGCAAGGAGGAATTTAGGACATAAGAAAATCAATGAATTTTACAACAGAAACAAATTCTGAGCACCCACAGTCCTTCAAAATCTTTGTCCAGGTCAATATATTAATATAATACTTATGATGTTCTGGTACCATTATAAAGAAACATGAACCAAGATCACATTAGGTGGAAATGGAGAAATACCAAATTCAACAAAATTTCATTCCGTCCATTTCATTCCTACTGGATGGGAGAAAAAATTAGATGCAACCAAGAAGAAGTCATTCCATTTTTTAAGTCTTAAGAGCTTAAAGGGAGAGATGTATCAAGCGGTGTCAAAGAAAAATAATAGATTGCTCCAAATGACTTAAGCAAAGAATTGATGTAAGTAGAGGCTCTGTGAGAATGATAGTAAAGTGCTTTTTAATGAAAACCAGTACTTTTTACCAAAGGTGTAATGAGCTATAACACATAAGTATTTTTAATTTGCATATATCAAGAATGTAAAACTCACATAGGTTATCAAATGAAAAATTAAATAAATTTAATTTCCAATTGGTACCTTGCACTCAGACTGCAGGTACCAATTCTATGAAGAGGAACAAATCATACCATAAAATACAGTAAAACAAATGCAAACATTAATATAATCTACAAATGTAATTTGGTCGGTCCTGTTGCACTTACCGCATCCCACTCTGCAATCTCTTCTTTAACAGTTTTCTCAGGCTCAATATACAAGGTGGCTGAATGTTCAAACTCTTCCTGCAAAATGCACCAATCTTTAAGTTTCACATACTTGCTTATATTATCACTATTTTGCTTATAGTTTGTAATCGAAATACATCTGATGATTTTGATTACGTTTTAGACTAGCTGAGTGATAGCTGGAATCTGTCAAAAGCCCTTATAAATAAGTACTAAAAATTTTAAAAAGTCTGATTTTGGTTTTTTGAAAATAAAAATCAACTTTAATGAAAATACTTATTGTATGCAAGACTAAAGTCATTAAACATTCCAAGAAAATGATTTTTATTTTTTTCGCATCTCTAATATTTTTCCAGATAATCTCACTTGAGATATGGCACTTTATTCAGGTGTTGTCTTATCAAACATTTTTTCAATAGAAACATGCTTATACAAAGTAAACCATCCTATACAGGCTAAAAATGTCACTTCTCTATAAAATGTGAGCATTTCTAAATTCATTGCAAGTGAAATTAGCCAAAAATACCTACTGGTATAAAGAAACCTAGCAATTATTTTAAAAACAACCCAATAATGAGGAGCTATATTGAGCTAGTGGGGCCCCACAGGTTCAAATGGATATCGAGTTAATAGAATAATAGAACACTGGAGAAACGAATTCACAGCAGAAAGTTTAAATTGTACTTGTGTTGTAGTAGATATTAGAACTATTCTTCCCTTGCCTGGAGCGCATTCCTGACATTAAAGGGGAGTGTAAGGGGAGAGGGTAGGGCAAGAATGAGGAAGGAAAGATCACGCACAGGCCATGGCCTGTTTGTCAGGGTACTGCCCCAGCATTTGCCTGGGGTTAAGCGGATAAACAGCAGAAAAATCCTGATCAGAACAGCAAGCCTCCAGACCGCCACAGAACTCAAGAAAGCTGACAAGCTAGTGTTGAAAACCCTGCTAGCATCGGGACCCGAATTTCAGAACCTCCTGGTCAGAGGCACAGCAGCGACATCAGTTGACATCACTGAGTAATCTCTCTATACCAGAAGAGATGCAAATCCTACACATACAAACCTTAATATCATTTTCAAATATAATTAGTTCCTGTTACACTTACCTCATCCTCTGCAATCTCTTCTTTAATTGTTTCCTCAGGCTCAATGTTCAAGGTGGATGTAGATTCAAACTCCTGCAAAATTCATCTATCTTTTACTTTCTCATATGATCCCCTATTTCTTAGAGAATTCAGTACACTTGTGTTACAAATTATATTAGAGGTTCTCAACTATTTTTACATACTGCAATACCTTCATATATATTATACATTCAATATCCTTCTTTTATTAATGAATCAGTAGATTATAAATATACTTGAAAGAAAAATCTTTTTTATTTCATGCACATTACCACAAGTACAATTTACAGAAACAATACCAACATGTTATGAGTTTTTCATTATAGAAAAATTTGGCCATGTAATTTCCAAAACATTCAAAAATGTTCCCTATGAAATTCAAGTCTTGATAATTCTTCACCCACCCGCCACCCATATTTGGGCAGAGCCTCATTGGGGGAGACCCCTCGGTCAGGGAAACCTCGCATGCAAACATGATGTTCGGAGTTAGATCTCACCACTCAGAGAAAAATCACCTCCCAGGATAACAGACTGCTCACATGACTCAATGACCACAGCAGTTGTCCTGGAAACCTCGATCACTCCTCCTCCCCTCACCATCTCTTCCCATTTCCCCCGTCCCTACACCTCCTGATCTTTTTGGAATGCTTAACTTTCCACTAAGTTACAGAAAGGATCCCACAACAAAAAAGAAGAAACTAAACTACAGAACCAACAATAATATGTAGTACATCACCATTTAGGGTGGCCACTCATTTCGCAGTACAAATTACTTTAACTTTTCTTTTTTTCCAGGGCAGTTTTAAATTTTTTTCCCCTATAAAATTTGCAAATTCATTCTACTTAAAGGAAATATTACTGTTACTTTGACATCAATTGATAAGCTCTCTTATTTTGCTAAGATGAAGAACAAATTAACAATATTTCTGGAACAATTCAAAATTGAGCAAAAAGTAATACTGAATTGTTTCAAGGAATAATCTGGCATCTGGTTTTATAAATCTCTCAAAATTTTCTCTAGCTTTAAACAATGCTTTTGCAAATTCCCTGATTTTCCCGTCTTTTCTAGAGCAAAGAAATTCCCTCACTTTCCAGGAAGAGGCCACCCTGCCATTACATTAATTGTGGCAGGTAATGAGTTAAAAACTGTGTAAATTCATAAAAACAGAAATACAGTAACATCATTTATCTTGTATTCTCTATTTCAATATGAACTTCCATTTAATTTCAGGTGTTAATGTTACTTAATTATGAAGACACATTAAGTGAATTTACAATTTTAAAAGCATATTTAGAAGATCTCTGTTTTCTGTGTGCGCCACGCCACCTTACTTGGTCACACTGCCCCTCTTAGGGTTTTGAAAAATTGTTTAGTTTTTTAAATAAAAAAATTCCTATTTCTTATTTATTTATTTTTTAAATCAGATTAAATCCATAACATGATGTGTCATCATTCTTGGTTAGTTTAAATTGCTGTAGTGTATTATTCTATGTAAGTGGTCTCTTTTTATTTCCAATACACTTGTTTTTAAAACATGAATTGCATGGCTTCAGTTTCTCATTGTTACTCATTTTTAAAAATGATTAGTAACTGCAGGATGAAAAACTATTTGATTTTTGTTTTAATTTATTCCATTAAAAAATATAAAAACTAGCATTTTTACACTATACTAGGTTGAAATTATTAGCTGCAGAGATATTTAAATGAAAACCATTATTTCCTTAAGTTCCTCAACGGCAACTGATGAAAGACATTAGTGCACTCTGGTGAGAGCCTGTGATGCTTTCTATGTATTGCTGCAGTTGGGGGTTCTCAAGGCCGTATTCATAGTTGACACTTATTTTTGAGGAACACTCAAGTGTTTACTTTTTGCATTTTTAATACATAGTTGTCACATAAGGATTTACTTAAGCATTCACTTATTCTTATAAGTGAGCTTATCTGTACTCTTAAGTGGATCCTTATTCCTCAACACAGAATAACATCAAAAATTTTTAGGACTTTTTGAAATTATTGAAATTAATACGGAAGATCATATACCAAAACGATATTTGAGATACATGGAAAATGCTTTGGAAATGCATAGGCAACAAGAATTTAAGATGAGAAATCGCTTTGACAAGGATATGGTTGTAAACATTAGTGTCTGTTGCTCGCTCACAATGTGGGCTTGAAAAATAGAGGATAACCATTACCATCAGACCTAAAAGTAGTAATGGCTCACAGATTTTATACATCATCATCATCTCAGTTACGTAATTTATTGATTTCAAATGCAGACTACCAGGGTGTATTCTGTAAGTTATCCTACAAGGACCATGTTTTATAGGTTATCTTACACTGATTATCACAATGCGTCATATGAAAAAGTAATTTTATTTTATTACTTTTTTCAGTTGATCTATATAGAATAAGTCAGCACTCAGTTTGTTGAATCATTATAGAAATATCTCAAGTATCAAGAAAAATTTAAAAGTTCATAAAATTCCCTTCATGTGTTGTACAAATAACATATGCCAATAATTATACTTACTAATCATGCAAGCAAATAAAAAAAAAAAAAATAAAAAATAAAAAAAAAAATCTTCCAATATGAATTATACGCATGCATGCACGTAACGAAACGAAAATTTATAATTTTATTTCTGTTGATAGACTGTCGATGAAATAAGACACTATTCATATGCCTAAAAGAACCGCCAAAATTGTAAATAAGATTGGCATGGCCTTCTAGTAACCAATAAAGCAATTCTGCCAATATTACGTAGCGGAATATTGCCCGAGTACGACTGTCAATTAAACCTATGAATACGAAACTGTCATAAGGGTTCACTATTTTAAGTAAATGCTTATTACTTAAGCTTTTACTTATTGTATAAGTGTCAACAATGACTAAGTCCTAATCCTCATTATTTTTTTAAATAAAAGTTACGTGAATTTTTAAATGTTAATAATTCCCAGAGTTTTCAGAACCTTAAGACAACATCTTGACTTTATTAAGCTTGATTTTTTGGCAGTAAAAATCTTCTACATGCTGTGGCATAAAAACTGAGTTTAACATATCTGGAGAAAGAGTTTTTCACTACACTGAAGACGCTCAAAAAAACCAGGGACCTGGGTCAGCTGATGCCCTTTGTTCCCCCCCCACACACACACGCATGCACACCTATGCCCCCCCCCCTTGCCACTCACTGAGACCATAGAACCATAAACTGTGAGATGTGTGCAGGAAAAAAGTAGAGAGCACTTCTTAACCATAGCCTGCTTGCATGAATACTAGAAGCCTACGGCTTCACATAGGCAAGGTGAAATCATTACTATTCTACCCCTTCACCTCACAGATCGCCTTGTTCGTAAAATGAAAGACCTGCCAAGCTTTTATTTGTATTTTTGTAAAAAATATGAACTCTAACAATAATCTCTTGATGTTCACCATTGTTGTTTATCTCAAAATATAGTTTTTTTTGAAATTATAATAATTCTGAATAAAACTTTTAGCTACACATCTGTATTATTTACACTCGGATTTCTTAGAACCATAAGTGTAAACAATTCTTCGTTCTTTGAAAGAAAAAGCAAAATGAATAGTTATTTTAACAACTTGTTAAAAATTATTTAAATCAGTGATTTAAGAAATATTTGTTTGATTTAAATCAAGATTTATATGCTCATAAAAGTAAATTAAATTAAAAGATTTAAATCATCAACACCCTACTCCACATACTAAACTTACATTAGTTGTGTAGACAAGGTAGTACAAAGTCATGTAGACTCCTACAATTTGAAATACCCTGCCATGGTCTTTTCTCAACTTCCCTCTTTAAAAATTTGTTATAACAAAGACAATTACCAATTTCGCCTAATACTTTATCATCTCTATCAATTCTGGATATCTAGGCCAAAAGCTCTACACTTATAAAAATCTACTACCCACAAAGCTTATAGAAATGAATATGCTGATAATACACAAGTGCCTTAACTTAATCATGAAATTGTATCCTGTTGTTACTGGTTCATAATAAATTTAAAAACCACAAAATTTGAAAATTTTCTACATTTTCCTTCAAACAATTTTGTGCATAATATTACAAAAGTAATGCTCTTTCAATTCACATAAACAAATAATACCTTTAATTATTCAGGGGTTACCAAATTTAAACAGCACAAAAGCATTCATTTTTTCACATTACAATTCGCTCTGCTATACTTACTTCATAAACCTCCACAATCTCTTCTTTCACTTCCTCAGGCTCCAGATGCATTGTGGTCGGAGGATCTAACTCCTTCTGCAAAATGCATGTCTTTTACTTTGGCATATGATCCTCTCACATTCTAACTTCTACTGCAACAGATTCATTTTCTTAATATTCACAACTTTTAACACTATCAATTCTTTACTTTCAACAATATATTCTGTACCTCATTTTGCAATATTAACTCTTTTTTAATTCACGTAAATCAGCAGCCATGTAGACTGCAGATGCCTTTTCTAAAGATAATCATACACACACTGTTGAACATACTAATATTATATAATTTACACATACCATTACATCTTTTAAGACTTACCTCATAATCCTCTAAAATCTCTTCTTTTACAACTTTCATAGGCTCAAGAAAAAAAGAGGCTGAAGGTTTTAACTCCTCCTGCAAAATGCATACAACATTAAACTACTTACATATGATATCCTTTTTGTTAAGCACTTTACTATACACTCATGGTATCATTTCTCTCTTTATATGAAGATCTCACTTACATGCTTCTCATGTTATGTGGACACTTGCTAAATAGATATTTGGCACTGAATATTTTAACCTTCAACCCACACAGTGCATACATACATTGTATAAAAAATGGAAGAACAAATAGAATGTACAATTTATGTCTTCGTACTATTTTGTCTTAGCTCTGTTGCACCTCATTAGATATCTAAATCGACCACTCAGAAATTCTGCGCAGGACATTTGTTGCATTTTTGTAATATATTAGTTGACGCAAGTACCGTTAAAATGATATTAAGATCAGTGGAAAATCCATTAAGAACGATGGGAAAAGGTAAAAATGACTATTATAAAAATCAATAAAATGTGAAGAAATAAAAATGGGCCATTTCATTTTGTCATAACATTATATTACTTTCTATATTAAATGACATTCTTCCAAAGTGAAAAGAATAAAAAAGACACTTCAAAAAAACCACCCCCTAGTATAATCACGGTTAATATAATCATTCATATCATGCCCTGCCTGGACTGATACTATAACATTAAGAAAACCTTGTTTATTGTAATTCATATGTTAACATTATTTTGAAACATTTTAAATTAGCAGTTTTGAGCCCTCGTTTACGAAAGACCACACAAATACCATTTATTGTATGTGTGAAGAAATGCTGTGCATTAGATTAGAAAATACAATAGAAAACAAATGGCTATGAATGAAAACATTACATCTACTGGTCTGACAAAAAACATCATATGTAAAAATATCTCAACCTCCAATAACAGTGGAAATCACACAGGCGTTGGAAATATTGCAAAAATGTACAAATATACATGTGGTGATCAGTACATGTCCACCTTTTTTCATGTATATTATAAGAATGCGATGTACATCAATGGAAGAGAAACCCAAAAGCAGATACAAATCCAGAATCCCTCCCCAATCTTAACCATTAGAAATTTTTGTGCGTTGTTATCAAAGAGTTAATGATATAACATTACATGAGGCATAGAGTGATGCTTCCACTGTATGTACCAGTTGCTCTCCTCCTTAGTTCTGAAGCACAAAATTGAAACACTGTAATCTGGAAGTTATACGAAAACCATGAGATATGTGAAAATTAATCACACAGAACACTAAAACTATTAATTCGTTACACATGTTTTACTTGTTTAATTTTGATTACATTCACCTAGCAAATATACTTCATTCACATAAAACCCCTACTGTACGGCAATCTTTTACCTTAAAGGCGGCAAACAAATCCTATTGACTCGCATGAAATATTTTGCAATCATTGATATCTGTGCAGTATGGGCAATGACATTATGGATATTGTTTACTTACGGGGTAGGCAATAGTGCAGTGTTCTATCAGGAAAAGAAAAGGGTCCCTCCCTAGCCTTTTACAATCTTTCCGCCACAAATATTCGACGAGATGGGAGTCCAAGTTATCTTGCCGTAAACCACCCCTCGACAGCAGACGACTTAATGGTCGCCATTGCGATTCAGTATTATTAGTCGGATCTACAAAATGCATCGAGTGGTTCGCAGCCAATTGATCAGAGTTTTGTTGCTTTAGATCTTCATAGTCTTTCCACAAGTCCGTAATAATTGTTGTCTGCGGTTGAACATGTCGCTGAATCACGGATAGCAATGTGTTTGCATCCCTAAGATTTCCTGGGCAAATTTCTAACCGTACTTCTTTAGTGTCTCTGTCAATAACCCCTAACACCCTATTTCCCTCCAAGACACGACCTCTATTGTATTTTCGACGGCCTATTTTACACTCGTCGATTTCAAGCACCGAGTTGGGTCCGCCAATTCTAGGAGCACCAATATATCTGCGGTCCATGGCGTCCATACACACATCACGTAAATATGAGAAACGCTCTGCAACTGTCCTGTTCGATAAAGTCTTTCCTTGCGAACACTCACGCACAGTATCTTCATACGTATAATTATGTGAGAAGCAGTACATAATTTGCAAAGCTTGACCGACAGTTACCTTGGCATTGTCTAGAATCGTACCTCTTGTGGCTGGAGCTTTAAATCTTTGGTGATTGCGTCGATTACACAAAAAGTCGCCAAACCCTTTTCCCCTGTTCCCTGCAGCCGTCAGCAATGCCCCACAATACGGACATAGAACATTGTTAGGCACAAGTCTTTGTTGACGACACCACTGTAAACATCTCTCTTCGTTTTTCACAATATTCACTAAGCTCACCCAATTCATTGCCACTGTAATATGTACTTCAGTCTATTTACACAGTCTGTTAATAGACCGTGATTATACGATGGAAATGCATTATACGATGGATTTACATATGCATGCACATGTGCGACCCAATGCCACTGTTATGTTGACAGAACGACTTCTGAAAAAACTAACGATTGTTAAGTTGGCAACATTTCATCCAATGAATTACGAATGCCGTGACGGTCCCCGAGACCTTTTCTCGTGTATTTTAGTACTTACCATCGTCTCAATTCTAGATTTCTTTGCCACTTCATAAGTTTCATAATTTCTTCCTGTCATTCTTCTTGGTGTTTTTTTCTTCAGTGCGATAGTTTTTGGCGGGTTTGCAACATCAAACAAAGTTGGAACAGCATCAGGTTTCAACCTGTTTTTTTGAAAGTTACCAAACATAATACTTTCAAAGTGATCACTACATATTGTACAATTTTTATTTAAATATGAAGCATCTTTTTTTGACAAGTCTTCTCTCCTGCAATTTATAGTCCATCTCTTCGCCCTGCAAAAGTGTGGTTTACGGTTATTTTATGGGTTTACAAATAAGTAATTTAGTAGAAAGTGTACACATTACACACAACTAAATTTGTTAATAACTGTCTTCTACTGGCAATAAAGGTATTGTACTCACCGTTGCTCGTCCTTGGGAAAGCCAAAAAAGCTGATGTTCTTATTTGTATTTGAATTATTTTTACAGTTCGGCGCCGAGCACCAACGACCTCCTTTTCTTAAACGAGCACTCATTATAAAACGCGCACATCAAAGCTTTTCAATTCTTGCTGCAAATGCAGAACGAATATCCCCTTGTGCTACGTGCGTCTTTGCTAATGGTACACGCACCAAATAAAATAAGAAATACTGAAATAAAACACACCGCCCCACTAAAGCTGACAGCTCGTACAGCAGTTTACTCGGTCTCAATATGGCGATGCGCATCAACTCGGCGCATGAATTGTGGGTAACTTTTCCTTTTGTGTAATTCCTCGTAATAACTTTTCTGAGCTTCAGATCATTTGTTTACAAGTGAAAGTGTCTGCCAAAGCGTCTGTCAAAGGGCGCAAATGCTTCAATTTGTGCTCTGTATCCACCAGGGAATATTTTCCTCCATGCGCCAGGGGTTGCGAGTGCGACGGTGCGATGCCTTCAGCGCCAGAACTTCCAGAAGGTATATAACGTTCCCTTGTCAACACTCCGTGACCGGGGGAAGAGGACGAGATGTTTTCACTTTGCCAAGAGGCAATGTTGGCGGGAAACGTTTGCAAAACAACTTAGAGATTAGAGAGACCCAGAGATGTGCAATAGTAAATAGAAGTCATAGAAGAATTGGAAAATGCGTATAAATTGAATAAACCACTATTACAAGTGCTTGTCTGTGTTGATTGTGCTGCAAAAGTAGTGTGCGATTTTGTTATTAAACTACTAAAATGGATATAAGTCGCAAAAAGCGTGTGCCAGCGATGGATGGACTAGCTGAAAAAAGTATAGGGCTCGGGGAACATAATCATGATCTACAACTGTACGTTCTTCCACCTACGTCTACAATTCAACTTGCGGAGATGTATGATTTAGCTGTTGAGCGAATGAAAGGTTCTCTTAAGTACTTTCCTTACATTTAATAGCCAAACAAATAGTTTTTCTTTTATTAAATTTCTTTAATGTCTTGAAGTGTTTTCAAAAGTCCTGATATTGTAATATATTTCATCTATTTACTGACTTGTTTAATTTTAATATTTTTTAATATAAAGTGTACAAAAAATAAAATTGCATTGTAGAAAAAATGATATTATGTGTGAAACCCTATGTTTCTAACTTTAAGAACAATAAGTACGATTTATTCTTAAATTTGTTTGGAGAATATTGAAATAGAGATAAGAAGAATTCTTAATAAAGTTATCATAGTTACATGCAGTTTGTGGAGTATTAACATTTAAATTGAAATCTCTTCTGTTTTAATATAAAAATGTACCAGTATGTCATTATAAGTAAATGTCACGAGTTTTTAATCCAACAATCATAATTTTTTCAACTTGGTCTCTATGTTATGAATATGTATTTCTGTATTAATCATTTCCCTCATTTTTGGACCAGCTGCTGTCAAATACTTAAATATAGTATTACATTTCCTTGTATTGGGAGTGATGTTAATAGAATTTTTGCTTTAGTGTTAAGGATTCTTGAACAGACTTTACCCCGAGTGCCATCTAGAAATATGGATGATAAGAAATCAGCAGTGTTACATGAATTGAAGAAACAAAATTTAAAAACATTTGCAAAACTGGTGAGTTGTAATGAGTCAAAAAACTTAATGAATCATTAAGATAATCACTTAAGAGGGGCCTTTGAACTTTGCTGTCACACGTATAACAGTTCACTAGCCAAAGGATTCTGTTCTTTTGATTATTAGAAGTGATTCTTTTATTGGCGGGGAAAATGCACTGGTTTACTACTCAATACCATCTCCCACATATTAATTGGTTCTTTTTATTTGTTCATGAAACACTTAAATAGTTGTAATTTGTAATAATGAGTACTACAGTGAATTCTCTCAGAGTTGCTGAAAACTACGAAACTGAGGAAGAAGTTACTAAAGTTACTAATTTCTTCAAGGAAAAGAGAATGATACATGATCCAAGGGTGTTATGTGGTCTCGACCTTCTTGATTGTGATACGCAAATGATAGAAAGCGCTTGGAGACTAGCAAAACGTAACAAGGTGCAATGCAGAACTCATCATGCATTACTCTTATTCTTATTTATGTAAATTATATGGCGGAGGAGAAACAAAGGAAATAATTTATATAATGGACTATTAAATGATATTGCTGAATTTGGGCCTTTGTCATCAACGAAGCAGTAATGAGCGAGTTTTTAAATGACAGTTTTAATTTAGTATTTGTTTGTAAAATTGTGTATTGAGTAGTTTAATGGCTTCATTTGCTTTGTGTTGTGTAGCTTTCTTATTCAATGAGCAATTGTCAATACGTAATATAAACATATTTGAAAGCCATCACCATTTATTTTCCGAAACAATTAAGTTTTAGTGAACAGTTTCTGAGGATGAAGGAAAGAATTTATAAAACAAAGTATTAAATGATATTGCTGAATTTTGGCCTCCATCAATGAAGCAGTTATTAGTGAATTTTTAAATAACTATTAAAGAAGTAATATAAAAGTAGTAGTATTGTGGATTAAGAGGGGTTTGGGGCAGGTGCCTCAAATTAGTTATATGGTAATAGTATTACTATTAAATTGTAGGAATAATATGTGCATTTTGTGTAAAATGAATGTTTAAATGTACCACACAATGTTTATTGACTTGTATCACACATTCATCTGGTCACATTTTTGAGATCCGACTCCTTTCTGGGGAACAAAATTTTTCATGAAAAAGAATTAATACAAAAACTTTTGGTTGGTGAACTGGTATGCGTATAACGGAAAAGGTCTGGGGCCTCATTACAACATACTAATGCTTGAGAGATGGATGCTTTGTGCTTGTAGTTCAGTATATGTAAAAACAAGACTGAAATGAAAAATGCTGAAATAAACTAAATATATATGTTTGGAAAATGAAAATATTCAGCATGCTTTTTAATGTTTGTTGATTTTACTAATTCACAGAAAATTGCAAAATACATAAATGCAGGTAAACAAAGTAGTGTTTCCAGCCCTTTTTCTGACTATCACAGCTAATTTAAAATATATTGTAATACATGTCCAAAGAAATGTTATCTCGACCAGTTAGTTTTGATACAGTAATGTATAAATTAATTTCATGGTTCTACCTTTATTGTTAATATTGTTTGATTATTCAATTCACTCATTTTATCATTTGAACATGCATAGTTTAAAGAACAAAATTCTCAGTAAATGACAACTTTTGTTTTTCAGCTGATATCAACGGGGAATGAACAGTCAGGGATACAAACAAATGATCGTATTAAGGATCATCTTTCCCATTTTATTGTTCGACTTGCTCATTGCCAATCCGAGAATTTAAGAAATTGGTTTTTAAATAGAGAACTGGAACTTTTTCGCTTACGCTTTCTTTCCCTGAATGCACAAGGAGTTCGCAGTTTCCTGGAGGCAAATCAGCTTCATTATTCACCTGTGAGTATCAACTCTTGCAAAATGTTCTGATTTAGAATTTACTTACAAATATGCTGTGGCTAACTTTAATATCAATATCATGTTTTCCTAACGTAGCCATCTAACTACATAATTTTAATCATTATTAACAATATAATTTATTCAATCTATAGCAATATTCTTTAACAGTTCTTTAAAGGACAAAATTGAAATAAGTGTTTCTGATGAAAATAACAATTAAGAGTTCAATTTAAATACTCATTAACAATTCACGAAAATAATTTGTCAATACAATATTCTAATACTAATTTTTGTATTCAATACTTTCCAACCTGATACTTGATTTTTCTCTAAATTTTCCAAGTGACCCACATTCCTTTATTTGTTGTGGTAATTCATTGTACATTGCCAAAAGAACTAAATTTTGATCTGTAAGCTAGCAGCTTTGTACAATTTCCATATGGAATGGATTAGCTTGTCATGTAGAGTACTGATGAACTTCACAATATTTTCTTGCTAAACAATCCAAATATTTTGGTAAAAGTTTATTTTCTATTCTACAAATAGAAGTCTGTACAACTCCATTTACTTCCTTTTCAACTGATAAATATCCTAATTCTTTTAACATATTGCTAACATTTTCATTACATCTTTTATTTAAAACAGCTCTCACTCCTTTGTTGAAATTGATTTGTATATTTTCAATTTTCTTTTAATTTACCATATTGGGATACAATAGTTCTTAATACCCCAGTTTCAAGCATCTATATTGCTAAAAATGAACTCAAAATAGTTCCAAATTGATATGTTCTATAAAGGAAATATGGAGAAACTGTGTTTCACCTACCTCTAGCCATTATTCTCCATAGTCTGGAACAGTATTACATATTAAAAACAGAATAAATGTTATGTAATATAAGAAAGATAAAACAGATGTTAACCTCAAAGTACTGAGCCATGAGGAGGAAATCACTAGTAACTTCATCCATCAATAAATCAAAAGATTTCAGAACATTTTCTGCCAGTACAAAAGCTAACAAGCGATGCTAACTTTATGCTGGGATCATTATTGTCATTATATCATTTGTAAGCTTTCACTTCGAATTCTTATGTATATACTGATATAAGTGAAAACATCATCTGTTGACAGACCGAACTTAATATTTAGCTGCATTAACGTTAGCTTACTCATAACCTGTCATCACAAATATGTGTATCCCAAAATGCTGTGATTGTTCAAGTACAATGTCAAAAACTTTATCATAAGCTGCTTGTTCCTTGGATCTGAGAAGTGCACACATGAAGGAAAATGCTAAAGTTAGTTTGATTCTTTTCACAATTGGAGTTATAGATTCCACAGTTGCAAAAGTTGAAAAAAAAATTGAGGGAGCACGAATGAAGTTTTTATATCTACAAACCAAATTCACAATATATATGGGGTTATCTTCAATTGTCATGAGTAAAAAACCAATAATTCGACCAGATGTTGATTCGTCCTTTTCTTCAAATTATTGGATTTTATTTGAACAGATATTTTGAAACATTTGGGCCACTATCGATTTTTAGTTGTGTAATAGTACTTAGTTCATTTATACCAATATTGGCCTTTGTTTTTGATTTTATTACTTTCAAATTTCAATTTTTGTTTATGTAAACATCATTCTACTGTTCACACTCTTTTGTGTTTTCTAGCTTATTGAATTTGCACCTAACTTTGAAAGAGTTTGTGCATTTATTTTATTAATTTAGTGTGGACAGCAGTTAAAACAGTGTAGGTGACATTTGTATTGTAATAAAGTGTGTATTAAACTTCAGTAGAACATCGCTAATTCAAACCCCAGAAGTTTGAAATTTCAGATAATCTTAATAAATTTAGAATGGAAGAAAATACATAAAATGCTTATTTGTAGTGTAATGAATGGATTTTATAAATACTGTAGAACTGAAGAATAATTATTGAAACAAAGTTGTCAATAAGCAATGAAATATTTATTGCTTAGGTAACTAACATGTTTATGTAGCAGTAATTTTCATATGGAAGAACTTGCAAAGCTGGTAATCTTCTTTTACTGTAAGGAACCGAATCTGTTTGATGATGCGATAGCTAGGCTCTGTTGCCATTTTCTCACATCGCAAACTACGTTGTTTTGTTATGTAATCGTAAAGATGTACTTATATATATGTATGATACATGTTTTCTGATAACCTGAACATTTCTGGATCCGAACAGACCACAGCCTCGTTAGTTTGGATTATTCTAGTTCTACTGTATGTTAATTGTAATAGTAGATACTTCAAGGAAACTTATACCATGTTGTTTTTGAACATTGCTTTTAAAAAATTGTATTATGTGGAGAGCTTGTAGTATGAGTCATTGACACGTAGTGCATTTTGTATTTTTATTTATCTTTCATTTTCTAGATTACTGATGAAGAAAAAAGTTCTGTGTTGAAGGGACTACTGTCATCAACAGCTGGAGCTACTCATGCAGGAGTTGAGACAATTGACTTTTATAAAGTTCCTTTCACAGATGTGTTGGATTTAATCACTACACGCAAAGTGTATCTGTCTAGAGGATATGCTTACATTCCAAGCCGAGATCTTTTATCTGTTATCAGCTCTATTTTCAGGTCCAACTTACTTCGAAATCTTCAGGTAGGGAAAGCTTTTCTTTTGGTTCTGGTTAAAAGTAAAAAAAGGAAAGAAAGAAACATGAAAAGATCTTTGTTAAAGACAGTTGGTGGAAATAATAATCTATTAATTGTAATGAGGGAATCCATTATGTGTTACAGATAACAGCTAGCAGCATTGTTGATTTGGAAGAAGATGAACGTTTAAAGCCTCTACTCAATCTTCACAAATTGGATTTTGCTGAAACTTATGATTACAAGAAAGCTGAAGGGGTCGTGTCACCGGAAGATTTAGATCCTGTGAGTAACATTATACAAAACAGCATTTTAACTTCAACAGTCACTTATATAATGTGAGATGAGATGCAGGCAAGAGATGAAGAGCCAACTTTTTACGCACCTTATTTTGCATTAATTTTTGGATAGAATTGTTGTTATTATTAATTACTGTAGACTTAAAAAAAAGTTCAAAAGTAAACGTCTGTAAACAGGTTATAGAGTTGGCTTATGATTTAATAACTCGCTGGTTATGATTTACGTTTGAGTTGTTTCACACTGTTTGAGCACTTTCTCCCAGAATTGCTTGGTGGCACTTCCATGTGAAGCATCTGCTGGCAAAGCGTTGCTTTACATGGAGGCAGCACTTGTGCTGCTGTGGCAGTTAGGGGTGCTCTTCTGCTGCCATAGAATAATCCGCCTAAGAATGAGCTGAAGTGACAGTTTGCTAAACAAGTGAACATCACATGTAATTCAGAGAAGAATCCCTCTGCCGCGACAGCGGTCTCGCAGCCGCGCCTCTTTGTAAAGTGTTAGTTTGTATACGGCTCCCGTGAAGACATAATGGGTTCTCATGGTTCACAACCATGTAATTGTATGAAATAATAAATATATACTGCAAAGTAGGGGACCATGAAGCCCCCTCGATCACAGCCCGACACCTTACAGCATAGGAACACGAAACATGTGCACCCATACGTATCTTACATTCAAGACTTGGTTTTGAAGTAAACATAATAATTTTTACCGAAGTGCACATAGCGCTGCACTTCCTAATTTCAATCATTTCTCATGGCACACTATATTTAGGCCAGATGAGGACATCACAAAAGGAAGCTTTGAACCCATTTACAAGTTAGCCAACTGCAAACAAACGAATGGAGGAAGGAGAGTCCAATAGGCTGAAAGACACAATGTCCACAGAACCTTCAGTTATGTTGCCAGCACCACCAAGCTCTGTTCTTATAAAAATCACTCTGCAGCAGAGTTGACATGATTCACAGGTCATTCAGATGAGCCGCCTAGCCTAGGTGTTTACAAGTTGACTACCTTACGGCTGCTGGTGTCCACAGTGTTGTGAGTAACGAATCCTTCCTTCCCGGGTTTCTAGCAACCGTTGGGAATTTTTTTCAGTCCTGGAAGTCTGTGGGAATGTTTTCCTAAATTGGATATTTTTAAAATTTTAGTTTTAATTTTCAAAAAAAGTTTTAAAAAAATGAGTTAACTTTTCAAATATTTTACCATTAAATGAGAAAAATAAAAAATATTATGACTAATGTGTTTGTGCACAGAACATCTTTAATACAAATTATTTCACTTTATTGGAATTATGGAGTAGATGAAGAATGAGACTTTCACTATTTTCTTAATGTCTATGTATTTTGGAGTTTCAATAGCTGGGAAAATTTCCGGGAAAACCAGAAGTTATACTGTGATTTTTCCAACTCTGCCCTTGGCAGGTATCAACTGTTGACAGTTTCATCCAATCGGAAGCTTGAACATCATCATAGTGACATTACCCAATAGCTCCGATTGGGTTAAACTGTCAACAGCTATACTTGCCAAGGGCAGAGTTGGAAAATTGCAGTATAGGCGAGAATTTTGTATAAGAATTTTGGTAGACGCTTTGTATTCCCACGCTTAGTGGCCATGTATACAGGGGCCTGGCACTGCCACTTTGCTCCATGTGAAAGCATCCTTACACACGAGTCTCGCCTTTCTCGTACCATTGGTTACATTTAATGTCCTTGCCACTTACCTAAAATCTCAGATTCACTGACATGTAATGTTGGTTGTTTTTTTTTCGTGTTTTTTTCCACACTTGTATGTTATTGGCTTCTCTTGACAGAGTGTTGCCAGGCTCTTTCTTGAAAGTGTCACTGTATCTTGAGCATTGCCTTCCTGAATTGAACCAGTTATCCGTGGAATCCCGAAAAATGTGTTCTGTATATGCATTGATGGGTATCTATTATCATGACCTGTTCATCATTTCATTTTAATCTGCATGTGAAAATTACTCCATGTGCAACGTCTTTTCCATTTCTTATATCTGAATTTCTTAGCTTGATTTCAAGAATTTTTGTCTTCACCGTTCTTCTGATATCTCTGGAGAAATTTGTGTTCCTATGTTTGTACACTTAAAGTAAGAACTGATAGAATGTATGAGTTCTGTACCGTCATTTACTTTCTTGTATATGTAGCATAGAGTAGGGATGTGCACTTAATAGATAAACAGTTATTTTTTAACAGTTAAAATTTTATAACTGTTACCCGAAATAACAGTTAATAAGTCTGATGAAATCAAATGAGTTATGGTCAAAGAACTCGTATTATGATATGATATTCAACAGTCATTACTACTTTAACTATAGGTAAGCAAAAACAGTTTCTTATCATTATTTTTGGCACTCGTCACTTTATTATGCATAAGTTGCATATTCAAAAGAATATTTGCAATCTGATCATGAATCACTTTTATTTTAGTAATATTTTATACACATTTGCTACTCATCATATCAATTACTATTCTGCCTTCATCCAAGCTCATTTATATCAGCTGTTTTTCTGTCCAAACATGTTTCGGGAAGCGTAAGCAAGTGCCGTGAGGTAGCTGCACAAGTTTTACGGTTCTACCGTTATTTGTTTAGCCTGGTTTAACTCTTAGCAGTCACCACAACTAATTTAACTCTTAGCTATCAGCCACGTTAGGTTGCTGATCATGGGCCTGTTATTTTTCAACTGTTATTAATAACCGTTATTATGAGTGGACTGTTATTCGGACAAAAAGTTATTGAAGAATAGCTGTTAAGCCCATCTCTAGTATAGAGGAAGTAAAGTAAAATCGTTAAAAGTTGATGTTGAGCATTGGCTGAGGAGAGGTATGTCTGTTGTCCCAAATAATAATTTTTTTTCTTTATTTTTTTTCTTTCTCTCCCTCCCCTTTCTCTCCCCTCTTTCTCCTCTCTCCCCTTTCTCTCCTCTCTCTCCTCTATCTCTCCCCTCTCCTCTATCTCTCCCCTCTCCTCTATCTCTCCTCTCCTCTCCTCTTCTCTCTCCTCTCTCTCTCCTCTCCTCTTCTCTCTCCTCTCTCTCTCCTCTCCTCTTCTCTCTCTCCTCTCCTCTCCTCTTCTCTCTCTCCTCTCCTCTCCTCTTCTCTCTCTCCTCTCTTCTCTCTCTCTCCTCTCTCTCTTTCTCTCTGTCCTATCTCTCCTCTCTCCTATCTCTCCTCTCTCCTGTTATATCCTGCTTTTCATTTAAGTATTTATTGGACCTAACAATTTGAAATGGTTACTGAATGTAACCTAGTCAAATTTTTCTGTAATGACTGCTAAAATAGCATTTGCGCCCGGTAATTGAAAACAATTATGTATATTATAATGTGCCCTGTTAAAGAAGCATTTGATTTGAAATCTTAATATGTATAGTTATCGAATTTATTATTATTAGGTATAATGCATATCGTGCAGTAGGCTTGTTGATTACTGATCAGTGATTACTCATGTCTGCTGATAGTATTATGTGATATCTAAGTCAATCATTCTTATAAATATAACAAATAACTTAATTCCTCTAACTTTAAAATTATATGTGCGGTTCATGACAATTTTGATTTTCACACAATCTAGGAATGCAAGAAAAATATACCAAAGTTAATGATATATTGAGGATGTATGAAAAATTGAGAGTGAGACATTTAAATTTAAAAATTATACTTTTGCCTTTTATTATACTGATGAAAAACACACAGTACACACTAGAAATATGTATTGCTACAAAAGTTGAGAAACTATCTTAGCTGTCATGTCTTGATGGCATGCCACTTAGTTGTGAATTAGTGCATGGCCTTTATTAAAGAAAAAAATGTCGGAACAATGTGGTTATATTCATATGTTTTATTGATATTTCAGTTATCACGAGTCTCGTTCCCGCCATGTATGAGCAGTTACACGAGTCTATACGAAAACTCATCATGCAAAACATGGTACTCGTATGCAGTATGGACTCTTCTTGAAGAGTATTGCCTTGTTTGATATGCAGTACGATTTTGGAGGATGAATTCACAAAGACCATGACACCTGAAAAAGTAAGGATTTGAATTGTGCAACAGTTTTTCAGCAAACCCATTTTCACTCTTCTTACCCAACTTCACCAGCACATACTTAACCACCTTGTAGTCTGTCCGTAAGAAAACATCCTTAAGCATCTTGAAACATCTTGAAACTTCCCCACTACAAAAGAAACATAGCAACCTGACAATCTGATAAAACAAAAATGTATCTCTTTTATGTCGCCAACCGTATTATATTATATAAGTAAATATAAGAGAGTTCATGTGTCTTAAAATATTAGTTATGAGGAGTTTCATATCGTGGTTAAATTACATGTTACAAGTATTTCTTCTTTATAGAACACCATGTTCGTTGGCAAAAAGTGGATTTTAGGCTCAGATTAAGGCAATAGATATGTTCCCCACGAATTCTATGAGCATGAAAGTTCAATGTAAATTCAGATACCACCCCTTAGGTTACTTATACCAAATGCACTATCACATAAAAATAAATATCTGCATTAAGTTACATAAAAACTAATATTTTTATTTAACAAATATTACATATTTCACGAAATTGCCTTAAATAAAATTTGAGTATTTTTAAGTTGGAGTTTCAGATATATGGTGAAAAAACATGCCAGGTTGGAATGCAGTGGTTGGTCTCACATTGTATGTTACTGTGGACTTCCCTGATTTAGTGAAGTGTGTCTGTTCTTGAAATGTCAAAACTTTCTGAGGCCACTTTCTAACACTACTGTCAATTTTTTTTTTCCAGGGCAATAACACTTGCAGTAATAACTGACCTTCGAACGATGACAGCCTTCAAACTTCCATAGATTGCACAGACAGAATGTGGAGATTGATAAAGAGAGTGATGTCACATTTAACTTCAAGTCCTCTCGATATTGGTTACTAATGGGTAATAAATAAATGTTTTTATCACTTTAACTCATATTTTTCATGTACATGAAAAATTAATATTTTCTGTTTTTGTTTTTTTTGTTTTTACCTCAAAGTCCTTGGCCTAGTGATTACTTTAGACCCTTCTGTACACTCAAAAGTTTCTCACATTTATTCTATAACATCACATACAATATGAACAAACTTTTGCACTTATGTGGCGGCGATGGTGTGACAGTTAGCATACCGGACTGTTATACCCAAGCTCGCGGGTTCAAACCTGATCGAAGCTGTGGATTTTTAGGGCGACAAAATCTTTCGTACGCCTTCCTTCGGAGGGGAAGTAAAGCCAGCTGTCCCATGTTAGTAGATTTACTTGCATGTAAAAGATCCTGAAGCCTAAATGACGCCTCTGAGCTAAATTCAAAATCGCCTGTTTCTCGCCCAAGAAATACCTCCTTTCTCTGCTAGATGAAAGGAGCGTAGCGAAATTTGCGTGGTCAGACGGAAGAGCGGGACGGATGGCCCAAGTCTCGCCACGTAAAATAAGGCAAATTCAATTCAATTCATCACTGCATGTACATGAAATGTAGCATTACGATACTTATGTTGGAAAACTATTCTGCACTAGATTTATCGAGAAGCACAGTCAGTGGAATTTGTTAATTTGTTCCCATCTGTGGTAGCAATGTGCTGCTAGTTTTGGCCCCATAATGCAGTGACACAGATGGGCAGATCTAGTGAATCAAATGTGAATCAAGCTGATGTGACATCATGAGAATTTTTGCAAAACACTCCACCATTGCAGTTGAGAACTACTTCCTTTTATGACAGTCTTAGAAAGAAAAAAATTGTGCAAAATTTTTTTAAGACTTTAAACAGTGCAGGGTCATCTGGTTGCCTGTAATGTGTATGTCGTTTTATGATGCCCTGTGCAAAACCTCCCTGATACTATCATCTTGCTTTACATTAAATAAGTTTGTTCTCTGAATTTGACAAGGTTAATAGAGAACCTCTATAAAAATCAGAATGTATAGTGAACCCTCAGTTAACACAAATTCCATAGGATTGAAATAATCATCGTTTGTGTTATAAAATTTGTTATCTGATTATTATATACATCCATATTACTATATTTCCTTGATGGGACTTGAATTTTGTTTGTGTTATGGTGAAATTTGTGTATGTGCTAACAAAGGTATATAATATTTAAATCTAAATCCCATTACTGATCATTTATTCTTACATTACTCCTAATGCTTTAAGTACTTATAATTTTTTGTTATGAATGAGGATTGTATTAACTAAAAAATGTGTGGGTTTTTTAGTTTCAGAGTCATTACTTGTATAATATTCGCCACAACTACGGGCAGGAAGGTAAGCGAACTGCCTACTCTGCATTCTCTTGTATGAAGATTTTGAGTGGATCTGTGGGCGCAGGAGATTGTCATGGTTGCCCCTTTAAACACAATAGCCAACATCTTTTGAAGCAACAACTTGAGAACTACGGCATTCCCCTGTTAGGTGAGGCAGTTGTTTCAACTTAGTACACACGTAATTTCTTCTTCACATTTGGCATGTCACCGTTGTGTTGATGCTTTCGTAAAGCTCATCTTCCCCATTTGGAAGAATTCTATCTTTCACAAAAGTTATAGTAAAAGCCTGTTTTTACATTCATACATTTGACGTTTTCTTGCCTTTTAAATAATTTTTGTTGGGACCCGTTGTAAAGCCTACATTTACACTGCATTCTTTCCCGCAATTTAAAACGTCATATGAAGAGTGCTGCCTATCTTGTACGTCATTTTTTAAATTTTTTAACTTCGTATTTGTATATATTATACCTAGTGTAGAGAAAGTTATGTAATGCTGCAGCAAAAAACAGTGCGTTTTGGACAGAAAATGTTGTATTGACACAGAAAAAGTGGATAAAGCCTGTTCCACTATGTAGTGCATTACTACAAATGTATGTAACAAACTCATAAAATCCTCGAGTTCATTCAGATCTATCAGGAAATATCAAGTTTGAAGAAAATCGGCTTACGGTTTCTTTCCCGCAATTTACGTCATATGAAGAGTGCTTCCCATCTTTTACGTCATTTTTTAAATTTTTTACTTCCTCGTATTTGTACATATTATACCTAGTGTAGAGAAAGTTGTGTAATGCATTAGCCGACTGACCGGATGACCACTGACGGACGAACGAACATTTTGCCAGCAATAGATTTTGCGGTTTCAAGGACCCATAAAACAGGGTTTCAGGGTATACCATGTGTTAGAGGCGTCAGGGAGATAGCTGATCTTAGTTTCCTGTATAAAATTATTGTTGGCGTGGTCCATTGTCCATTATTTCTCAAGAAAATAAATTTGAAAAATGCAAATTTAACTCTGAGTATTGACATTTTTGACATTAAATTCTATAAATTGTGTTTTACTGCAAACAACCTTTTGAACTGAATGTGGCCAAAGGGCTAATAATGTACTCAACAGTAATTTTAATTCAGTTTCTTTGAAGAATGCAAAAGATATATTACTTCAATTTGAATGACTTTTACTGATATTGATTTTATAATATTATACTTTGTACTTTATTTAATTCAAGGAGTTAGGTACTTCTTGTATGGATACTTTTTGTAAATTCATGGACAAATCGTCCTTATGTTTGAAGTAAATAAAAAATTGGAAACTTGCCTCTATCTCCAATGTTAGCCATGAAGCGGAAGAATAGAGCAAGTTGTCAGTTCATAACTTGATCACAGAAACATCAACAGATGCGAATTTCAAATATGTTAAATTAAAGAATGTGAAAAAACCTATTAAAGAATCTGAGGCCGTGAATAAAAATGTAACAGGAAGAAAATCTGTTGACTCAGAAGGGAAGGTTCTTAGGAAGAATCATTTGAAATACTAAGATCACAAATTCAAAGCGTGAAACTTTCATAGGCGCTTAAAATATTAAAAGATGTCGCAATATGACAGGAAGACCTATTATACTACATGTGAAAATTAGTAAAACAAACACACAAACAAAAACGTTGATTGGTAATGATTTTAAGGAAGAAAATGTGTATTAACTAAGAAAATATTTAATTATAAAATTCTTCTCCATAATATTCTTATCAATTATACAATTTTCAATTTGAAGCCGCCTGTATAATAATAATTAATTTCAAATTTCTGATGAGAGCTTTTCAAATGTAAGGAGTTCTCTTTTATTTTAGTAAATACGGAATTTATAAATATAAATATATTGTCTAACAAGTGTTCTTGGAAAAGTGTCTTAAAATAATTACATAAATAAGTAATTAACAATTTTATTTTCTTCCGTAGGATTTTCTAAATTGTCTCTTTCAGCTGCTATTGCTTTTCCTCTTATTTACTTTTGCATTCTCCTATAGTTTTCTCCTATAGTTTTAAGTGAGTTTCTTCTTTCATGATGATATTCAGAAGTTGAAAGTTACAATTATAATTTTTTTTTAGCAGATTCAATAATTAATGCAGTTTAAAAATGCAGTTCTATTGATTATAATTGATTGATTTCTTGAATTTATAGATTTCAAAAATATTCATGAAATTAGACCAAATTAGTTATTGTAATTTTTCTTTCTTCAGGAATTCAATCCATTATGGACTTCGTATCACAGCAGCAGTACCAACTTGCATGCACAAAGTATTTTGAGATAACACATCCCTCTGCAACAGTAGAAGTTATATATCACCCGAATCAATTTTTTGAAATGAGTCGAAAAATACATACTGGAGTTGATGTTCCCTCAAGGAAGGACTTTGAATCAAGCAGGAGACGAATCAAAACAGAAAAAGGTATTTTAAATGTTTTTTATTTGCAAATATTAATTTATTGTAATTATTAATTGTGTGTGTGTATTTAGGGTATTATAATGTACATCATGTAGAAAATAGCTATACACATATCCTATACACACATAAAGTATCATAATGACATGTCTTTTGTCTCTCTCCTGCTCTTCCTCCTTCCCTCCTCACCACACTTTTTTTTCCTCCCAAAAAAGTAGTAGTCTGTTTTGACATATCTCCTTTTGAACATAGGGTGTCAATATAACTCATAGTTCAGTTGTCTGGTTATTATTGTGTTACTAATTATTGTCACTGATTTGTGGTTATTTTTCTGTTCTGTTTGAGAGCTGATGAAATTCGAATGCCCTGGTTACTTGATTACAGATTAGTTGTTGTTGTTATATTCCTATATTCTACGAATATGGTTTTGTTTTATGATACAATATGATGTCCGTCTTATGTCTTATTAATTTGAGCAGTTCCAACTATTAGATTATATCCTGCCACTATTGTTATTCTTTTCTTTTTAATTCTAAGCAACATTTCGAGGCATATAAAATTTGGCC